TTGTATCATTCAAAGTTCATTTCAGGTTGGATACATTATTATATGTATTTTTTTTACTTTAGGTTATATCCATCTACTTACAATAGAGAAATTAGACATTTAGATTAATAAAAGTGAGCAATAAATTTTAGAGATGTATTGAGGTCTCATCCATCACACTACGACTGCAGCTCATCTCATGTGCAGTTCAGCAAGCGATGTTCATCTGTCTGAATCGATATGTAAACTTTCCTCTGTGTTCTTTTCCCCCAAGCTGCTCCTCATGATACATGAAGTACTAGTGCCAGATCTGGAGCAGAGGCAAATGCCAACCTGCTCGCTCCTCCAAATGTCAATTGTGACAAGCACAGACATCCAGCAACTATTGCCACTGGGCTGTTTCAGCGACTCGTTCAACTCAAACAGTCCTCAGTATCTCATGAAAGGAGAGGAGGTGAAGTGGCTCAATTCAAGTGATTTGCTCCTTTTCAGTAAGTGAAGAAAAAAAATACTGCTCTACAAAAACTTGTGAGGTATTCATCATGATCTGAATGTTTTAAGTTAAGTAAAAATATTTGTTTTGTTGTTTTTGTGTTGTTTTTTGTTTTTGCTTTTACCTGCCAGGTAATGTGTAACAGAGCAAAACACTTTAAAAAATGATTTTAGAAAGAAAGATTAAATTTATATCCACTAGAGGGAGCCATATGCAAAGTAAAGTTTTCAAAAACTGAGAGCACCCCGTCTAATCTGAGTAGATTTTCTTTCTTTAAATTATTTCAATCTGCCCTTCATAAATTGGCGTTTCACTCTTTTTAACTGGAACAATAATTTGAATTTTATGGCAGACAGATTTTAAAGGAAAATATTTTAATGTTCAAAGTATAATAAAACAGGCTTGATAGGTTTGCAGGTTTTTATACAATATCTCTTCTGGCTTTCTCAAGAGAGACCACATGACATACTTCCTTACTTTAACTTTTACTTTTTACTCTGGTTCATCCAGCAAACTTAATAAAATGTTAATCATTTACATTATTTTTATATCTTGACAATGTGACTTTTTTCCTCATCTTGATCTTTTGAATTCAGAATTTTCACTCAATTAATCATTAGAGGAATAAAACAGCAGCCACCAAAGATAAACATTTATCACAGGTGGAAATAAAGAGAAATAACTGTTCTTTAAATCTCACAGTGCATGTAGAGGAACATAGATATGTGTACTGTAAAGGTAGAACCACCAGTTGTTTAGAAATAAATGCATGGGTGTCCCAAAATTTATTTTAGCTGAATTAAATCAAACCTATTTTTGGGGGTATTTTTTGCCAAAGTAGAATCTTTTAAAAGTTTATTATTATTATTATTATTACAACTAGAAACCTCCCAACAGAACCCAGACCCAGGCTCAGTGTTGGACTCGGACCCAAACCTTGAACTGAATGTTGACTAATCTGGTCACTAAAATGTGCTATACAAATAAACTCGCCTCTCATTACTAACTATAACGAAAACAGAAAACTGGGTGAGTTAAAAACTCAACATGCAATAATATTCTCCAAAAGAACAGATGCTGTTAAGACGTACAACACGTTGCAAAAGTATTAGCACCTGATATCCTCTGAATTAAAGATTTTAGTGAATATTCTGTCCTTGTCCATAAGAACATGGATGAGTATGGTACAACTGCATAACTACAAAGATAAACTGGCTGGCCAGAAAAACAAAACCAGTCATTAGAGACGCAGCCAACGGGTCTATTGTGACTCTGGAGGAGCTGCAGGGATCCACAGCTCAGGTAGGAAAATCTGCAAAAGGCAACTGATATTCGTCTGGCAACACTCCTCTGTCTGATCCAGTTCTGTTTCAGAATAAAAAAAAATATTTTTTTTAAACACTCTATGATACTCCATAGAATTCATTAGATTCTGTGATGGTGAGTGGGTCAGGTCATCCTGCACCATAGCAGTTATACCATGACACTTTCACCTCTATGCTTCACAGTTTTTTTTCTGAAATGCTGTAAACAGTTTACCCCGAAACACATCCACTTTTCTACTGTTAAGATAAACCAGTTTCAGAACAAATGTTCAAAGAATATGGCTTCAAATGTTTTGGTCCAGGTTCTCTTTGGCAAGATCTGGTCTAAAATAGGGCTGCAACTAAGGATTATTTTGAAAATGGATTAATCTGTTGATTAATCAGTTAATAATCAGATAGTAAAAGGTTCTTTAAAGAAGACTTTTTCCGAAATTAAACCAGGTGAAACTAAAACTTTAGGAGTTCTGGATAGAGCATATTGACAGGCAAAAAGTATTTTATTTTAAATGCAAAATGTTTACATATTATTTTTACAACTTTGGTATAATTGCAGCTCAAGGTAGGTTTCTCTGTCAGCTAAAGGCTTGTTTTAGAGTCTCTATACTCCAATTAAGGAGTAATCGATTAATCACGATGCAGATTTTAGGTTAAACTTGTTTGATCTGTGAGGTTACACCCTTTAATTTTTAATGCAGTTGAATTGCTTATTTTAAATTCACTATAAACCTCCTAAAATTCAATACCAGACACAAACATAGAACAGCCTTCTTTCTGAGGCATATTTTTTCAAACTCCTTATTCTGTCTGTTACAGCCCCCCCTTTTGTAAGGAGGAGGGGAGTAACGCGACAACCACAAAAATTGACAGAGTCCAGGTGAATGTTTTAAAAGACATAGGGATTTATTAACAACAAAAATCCCAGAAGGCTTGTACACACTGTGGGGGAGAAAGGGACGGTTAGGTGGTGCCAAATCAAAGAAAATAATAAAACAAAACAGGGCCTAACTACCATCTATTCTACAGAAAAGAAAATAGAAAACAAAAACCCTGCCTATCTAATCTAACAAAGGTGTCCAACAAAACTTTACATGGGTGGCACCCACCTGCTTACCTAGTGTGTCTAACATAAAACATCTGCGTGATGAAATGTACAGGGTACCCCAAACTTACCTCGCCCACTAATCTCCCACCACAAACCTTCAAACAAACAAGACGTGTGTCAGCGTAACAGAGCCAGTTGGAGAGAGAGACCGAGAGCCAGAGAGAGACCCCAGCTCCCCAGCTGGGCTTCTTAAATACAGCCTCCCTAGATGTTGATTGGTCCTCGTCAACCATGGCCCAATCAGGGGAGATTGATGCCAGCTTTCATTACTTCCACACTACCTGTGAAGACAAACAAAAAAGGGGGAGGGGAAGGAGAAACAAACAGCTTGGCAGGCATGTAACATGTCTCTGACTTCAACAATCTAAGGTTTAAACAGGACAAGCCTTCAAAAGGCTGAGTAATGATGCTATTTGCTTATGATAAGTTCATTTGTTTTAGCTTCAATAATACGTTTAGGGAGTTCAAAGTCATTTCTCACCAGAAAAAGTATTTTTAGTTACACTTTACAGTGAATATTTGAAGCTTAGTTTTAAATAGTTAACTCAACATTACTTAACATTTCAAGTAATAGAAAAAATTATATAAATATGTTTATACATGTTAAGATAAACAAACAAGAATATATTTGGTGCAAAAAATTTTTCACCACCAGAAAAAACACCTTTACCAGGTTATAAAAACTTTTCTTTCATAAAATAATACCATTGTTTATATTTTAACCAACTTTTGCAGTTAGTTTTTTTGCTGCTGAATTTTAAACATAAAAAAGCAACAAAAAATGGAAATAAAAATGCTGAAGACTTGGGTATTCTGGTTTATTGAAGGCACATCCGTTTAAAAATCAAACATATCAGCTGTGCTTCATGTACATTCATCGTCACAAAGGTTTGTCATGGACTAGATTGATTTATTTGACTCATTAGCTTGGCTTCAATACATTTGGACAAAATTTCTTCCATAAGGCAGCAGTGTTAATACCTCCTCTAATGACGAAATCACTTGAACATGTGACATTAACCTTCAAAAGCACCCTTGTTTTAGTAATAAATCATAAATTACATTTCATAAATAGACAAAACAAAAAAAAAACTTTCCACTAATTACAATGCATCACATTTCACAGCACTAAATTAGCCAAAAAGACTCCAGGATAGAGGTTCCAGTGTATCTAAACTGTTGTGGCTTCTAATCTCAAATGTTTACATGGTATAAAAACACATTAGAGGAAGACCCCTCTCCCATATATATGTCCACAGAATAGGAGCTACAGCGTATGCTGAGAAAGCATGGGCTGGTAACCGTTTCCAGGAAATACCAAGGCTTTAAAAACTTCAAAAGCACAGAAAGGAAAAACCAAAACATTTAGCCACAGATGAAGTGTATGGGAGAGAGTAGTTTTCTGTGTGTACTTCCCATGACTGCTGCTGCACACTGCTGGTCAGCTGGGTGAAAGGAGGCTACAATACATAATTTTGGCTCTTTGCATAACTGTTCAAAAAAAAAAAGTTATAAGGGAAGAACTGCTGTAATCGTTGCCTAGCTACCATCTTCAGCTTGTTTAATTAAGCAGCTTTATCAGGGAGTTATTCATTATGTCTTTGTGAAAATCAACATGGCAAAACAGGAGTGTCAAAAAAACCACTAAATTATCTCAATAAATTAGAATACAAATAACTTAATTTCAGTAATTCTATATGAAACACGAATCTCATTCACTATACAGTTTCATTACACATAGAAAAAAAACATGCTTCAAGCATTTAGTTCTGATTCTTTTAACGATAATGGATTACTGCTTTTAAAACCAAAATCAACTCTCTCAAGACATTTTTAATATTTCTTAATACCAATTACAACAAATAGTAGAGTACTTATGGCTGTTGAGTTGACAGTGGTTAAGCAGGAAGTCATTAACACCATCCACAAGGAGGGTTACCATAATAAAAGCTGCCTGTTCATAACCGTACTGCATCCTGGGAGAAAATGAGTGGAAGGAAAAAGGGAAACAAGAAGCCGGAAAACTTGCAGAAAAACAGAGAATTCAAGGATTTGGGGGGAAATCACAAGGCGGTCAGAGAATAAAAGCCGCCACTAAATCCAGAACATGAGATACAACTGTCCCTTCCTCTGAGTTGGGCTATGCTTGAACCAGAGAAACCCTCCAAAAATGCCTTAGCAGGGCTAAAGAGAACAGAGGAATGTAGAGGTATTTGTTTAAGAATTCTAGGTTTTTGTTAGGTCGGTATATTCATCTCACTTACAGAAAAAAGTCTGAATACATTAATACGGGCTGGAAGGTGGATAATTATCTTTTTTCAAGCATAAACATAAATATTTTGAAAATCTTTGCGAACGGCAAGGCCTTCCTGGTTTCATTAAACCATCTGGTAAAAATAACTTAGAAAATATGATGATCATGTGGGGACTAACTGCACTGCTGCTATACCAACTATGCCCGAAACGGCGATTTTAATCAATTTATTGATGATTTATTTATTGGTTTATCTTTTGTTGTCCGTTTAATCTTTATACTAACATCTGAATCCCATTCATTCATCAATACACTAGAAGACAAATATAGTTTTCATTTTTTTAATTCATTAACTAGAACTATTTTTCTGATATTCTAATTGTTCTGCAAATGTTATAGATGATTATTACGACTGCAATGATCAATGTGTTATTTAGCAGCAGTAATAGTAGTTAGTTCATTTTATACATGTTTCTGTTAAATGTTTGTGGGGAAATCTTTCTGAGGTTATCCTACTGTGGGAATGTCTTACCAGCCATTTCAAACATAGTTAAAACTGATTTAGAGCGGACAGTGGTGGAACCCTCCTCTTCAGTGCACTGCAACATGAAATTAAATTTTAGCAGAAGTCAGAAGAAGAAAATGATACAATTCTTTAGATTTTGAAACCACTGAGGGTTAAAAGAAAGGCCTGGTAGTTCTATTATCTTCACTTTTCTTCTTTAAAAGACGTTCTATTGACTCTGAACTAGATGTCTTTTTTTTATTTCAGGTCCTTCCAAATCCTTCATGCAAGCCACCAGGAAGTCACGACACTTGCTCGTGTATTGCTCGGGAAAATCACGAAAATGACAGACGTGGGCGCTGGAGGTAAAATCACAGCTGTGCACCGGGACGCCCTTCTTTGTCACGGTCTCCATAAACAGCTCAACGTCTCTGTGTCTGATCACCTGATCCGCTGTGGAGTACAGGAGGAGGTGAGGCCAGGCAGGTGGCCTGTCTCCCACTGCGTCATAGTGGTTTTTGTGGATGAACTTTGTCACTGGGTACAGAACGATTCGCAGGAGGAAAACGCTCACTGCAAAAAGCGCCAGGAGGATGTACTTCAGAAAAGGGCTTATTTTGGGCCCCAGGGTAGCTGTGAGAGCACGCAAGGCGCCTTGGACGTTCCCGCTCCCCGGTGCACTGTCCACTACAGCTCCAACCACACGAAGGGAGCTGAACTGTTTGTCACTGTGCAGCAGCTCCACGATGTATCGGTAGAGCATGAAGCCGCCGTTACTGAAGATGTGGAAGAAGACGGGGCTGTTCTCCACTTCGTAGTCATAGAGGATCTCCAACAGTTTCAGGGCAGTGCTGCTCAGCTCCTTGTAGCCAAACGTCTCAGAAATGAAGACGGTCTTCAGGGGAGCTGTGTAGCGGATGGTGACGCACCCCTGAAACACAGTGGGGAAAAAAAAAACAAGTATAAGGTTGATTCACAAGAATTTCAAAGCCATTACCCAGAAATTTATGTCAAATCTAACTGAAAACTGTGTTTCACCAACATAGCGAAATATTTGCACCTGCAGTACAACCATGCAGTCAGTATCAGTAACACTGGTGTTTACACCAAAAGGATAAGGTGAAAATATCCCATCATTCAGCATGGTAGGCAGTTCAAATTGGCCCTTCAAGCTACATCTAAAACCTCTACACTGGCAATAAACTAAGTTGACAGAAGAAGAATGCAGCATTTCTGTAATTTTGACTGCCCTAATATGCACAGCCAACAAGAAAAAAGACAGATAAACAGTTTGACTCATTTAAAATTCAGATAAAGTTCACAGACTCAGGTTGGATGATCCAGAATCAGCCAAAGCTCACCAAGATGATCATTTTTAAAGTGCCGTAAAGCAGGCTGGACTGTTGTGACATTAACATCCCAAATACAAGTATTTTTCTATCAGTGTGGTTTTTAAAAGCGTTTTGTATTGATGGAGATCTTGCAGTGGAAACCCAAACTTCCCTCATTCATTTGTTAGAGGATTATTTATTTTTGTATTATTGTACATTTTCTTCTAAGAAAAGTAAACATCTATTTAAATAATCCATCTGAGGTGTTTTTTTTTTTTTGTATCGTGGCACTGACCTTATCATTGTAAATAGAGCTGTATTTAGAGAGGTGTTTGTCCTTGCAGCCAGCCCATCCCAGCAGGATCACAACCGGCTCCTTTGTCCCCTGCCAATGCCTCTCTGAAAACGACACCCAAACAACAACAGTGCTTTAACACAGAAACTGTGAGCTGCTATAGCAACGACCACACAAAAGCAGCGCTCGTGCCCGACAGAGATGCAGTTCGAGTTACAGACAGTAAAGTGTGTGTCTGTACGATGAAACTGCTCTCACCTGATGTGCCAGCATCTGGAAACACAATATTATAGTCAATATCATCCGCAGCCATTTCTAAAAGCTATACCCCGGCGGCTAACGGTCACTCATTTAGGCGAAGTAAGCGATGAAAAACAAGCTAATAGGTATCAAATTATTCCGTTTCTAATGAATAAAGATACAAACACATTCACGGCGAGAACAGGCGGTGTTACAACACAATCCTTCCTACCGACAGGAATACGGCTTCTTCTTCTTGTCCTCAGAGAGCAGAGTAGAAACCAGTCTTTGATGTATCGCCCCCTACTGGACGGCTGTCGGCTGCGACCTGGCTTTTTCTTCACTTTTCGATCCTTTGAGCCCAATTTTCATCTGAAATGTTACGCTTACAAGCAATGAGTACAGTTGCTGTGTAAGATTAAACTACATTACATTTTCTTTATTTAATTCTCTCAGAGGAGTATCACGTTTATGCAATATAAGCAACAAACAAAAAAGTATTTTCTCGAGTGACAGCTATACACTTTTAGAGGAAATGAGACAACCATACATAATTGTTTATAGGCTTTTAATTTCCATCAGAAATGAGAATACAAAGTTAGGTAACCAGGGATACAAAAGTTATTTCAATTGAAATGTCAGCTAATCAAATCAGAATTTTGAATATATCTTTTGATGAGACCATGTTCTGTCTGAAATAGTTGTTTTTTTTTGGAGCGAGAATAAAATAAAATATGATCTTAACAGCCATCACATAATTGCACACTTTTATCTAATTTCCCTGCTTAAAGACAAGGGTAATGGATGAAAAAATGTCAATTGTATTCACCATTTACATAAATTGATTATATAACTGAACCTGGCTCAATTTGGGTTAGGTCAATAATAGTCTCCAAGAAACAGCTGCTCAAATAAAAATAGAACTATTAAATGATCTTATGTAAGATAAAATGACAGACATGATGTTAAAAAAAAAAAAAAACTATTACAACTTCCTCCCCCAAACCATCTCCATCTTCTGAATGTGAGCCTTAGAAGATTTGGAAAAGGTGCTTTTCACCACATTAAGAGGAGCAGCTTTGCCACTGAGATAGATCTTATTGATACATGCGGGTAGCCAGGTCGGCTCCGACTCCATCTCGACTCCTCCCACCCCAGCTTCCTCATTCTTGCTGAGGATGTGCGAGTAGGCAAAGATATACCCCGTCATAAAGGCATCAAACCCTGCTCGATGTGATCCTGCATCCGCCTTCTTCTGAGCATTAGACTCTACTGAATGGTCCCCAGTAACCTCAGAGCAGTCTCTGCTTTTTGTCTTATCTTCGCTCATTCTGCCTTCATCGTTTTCGATTTTCCTATTCTGCCCTTCGTCTGTTTGATGAGAGTTTCCATCAGGGTCTATTTGAGGGACTCCGTCAGAGCAGGATTTCTCATCTGCCTCCTGTTGGTCACTTCCTCCTTCTTCCTTATCAACTTCCATGTTGGGTATTTTATTCTGTGGTGCACCATCAAAGATGGAGCTGTCCTCTGCTGTACCTAAACCTTTTTTCTCTCTCTGCCTCTTCCGCTTTTTCTTTTTGTCTTCTTTGCATTTCTCATCCTGCAGGATGATCAGGTCTGTGTCATGAGAAAACGAACACTTGGTGCCATTTGGACACCAGCCGAAAGCCTGTAGGGAGGAAAAAAAAAAAACAGAAGGATGGGGCAGTTATTCAACCTATAGGGAACGACCCAGTGAACATACAAGCTGATGAGATTTGAGGATTGTTTTATTTAATTATGGAAAAAGATGAACATTTAGGTAAAGGAATGAAAGATATGAATTATTAAGAACTAAAAGATAAAATCAAACAATTTAAAGACCTATTTTTTTTAACCGACTCATGAACACAAGTGGAAAAAATTACTTAAAAATTGCACATGAATGCAATAATATATTGTGTTTTGAAAAAGGATGAACACCCCTACACATTTAAATAGTCGTCATACAACCCCATATTTGGTCAATTTTGTTTTACTGGGATTCAGAGTATCTCCTTACCATTCTGCTAATCCACAAACTGAAGCGTTATGCTTAATAAGTTTCAGATTAGACTGGGAGCATTTTAACAGGTTTCATCAAAGATTCTCAACTGGAATTTGTCAGAACTTCAAAGGTATAGTGGAGAATGTTCTTTTTCCCGGTGGATTCCCAGTGCTTCTTTGACAATAGCCGAGGGTTGTAAGAGAAAAAGTATCTACGAGGTGTATGAGAAGAAGAGAAAAATCTCAGAAGAGAGAAACAAGACCAGAGTATTTTTGGGAGATTCTTTCATGCAATGGCTTACACTGAAAGCACAGGCCGGGCTTGCGTCTGATGCCTTGGTGGCGAAGTTTTTACACGACAGGTAACGTTTGGCAAGCTATTTGGAGAGATCCATTTCACATCACTGCTAATAAAACGAGGAGAAATGGTATCATGCATGCTCTCGCACATGTTTCATAGGTGTCCTCTCGAGAGCAGGTACAGGGTTGTGCGATTGCATTTTTCTTTTTTAAAGTGGAGAGGGCGGGTCTTTTCAAAAATTTGTGAAAATCCTCCACTATACCTTTAATCGCTCCACTCAAACAAATGAAGATGCTCAGATCTAGCTGATCCCTTCATACATTGCTTGCTTGTTTTTATCCTGCTCAGAGGTGAACCACTGGCTCAGTCTTGAGTTTTTGGGGTTTTTTTATGGCCTCTAACTTGTTTTCCTACAGAATTACAGTTTCAATAAGTCTGTTCTTATTGAAGAAAAGCAACCCCACAGCATGACTCTGCTAACACCATGTTCTAGAGTTTGTGCGGTGTTCCGATTTCACAACACGCATTGTTTTACTGCCATCTGGTTCCATCTGACCAGAAAAACTTCCTTTTTATGTTTGCATGGCTTTGAATAGGCCCTTCTAATAATAATAATACAACTCGAGTTTATTTCTTTTAACAGCAAGTTGTTCCAGTGATTTTCATTTAGGGGTGAATGTGGCTGATCTGGCTTTATTAAAGCCATGCATCATTTTCCTACCTTTTCACCATTACATTTATGTAATCGTATAAAATTCCAATATAATAGTTAGAAACTTGTAAGGATTCATGTAAGCAGGCCTGTTCCGATGTTAGAAGTTGGACAAAGTAAGCCTAAAACATTTTCTAAGATTGCTGAAAGTCAGTTAAACTTACTGAAAAGCGCTGACAGATGTCCGTCTGTCCCTCTATGGAAGCTACAGCTGGACACTCTCTGTAGTCGATGTATGTGGACAGGTGACCCGCATACTGACAAAATTCTAAATGCATATGAGGTCCAGGAGAACCTGAAGTGATGCCGCGGCTGTTTTCCAGTTTACTGACAATATAAGAGAAAAGAAAATACAGTTATAATGGAATACCAATGTTCTTTGGGTCAACTTTTAACTTTATCTTTAACACAGATATGATCATAGTAGCATTCTGCAAAGGAGATCTGCAAAGTAGTTTTTATTGAGAGCAGACTTGATGCTTAGACCTATGTCCAATCGTTTCAAATCCACAAACTGCCCAACAAATAAAAAAACTGAAGCTAAAACATGACATAACCTTGGGCTTACCACTTCTTATAAGCATACTCCAGATAGGAGGCAGTCAGCCGGAGCTCAAATTCAGTCACATATTTGGTGTCGTAAATGCCAGCAGGAAACATCTCAGACAGGTCGGCTGTGAAGGTGACCAGCCGCTCAGGGAGGTGAGCATAAAAACTCTTCAAAAAAACAAAACAAAAAAAAAAAACATTTCAAGAAAGAATTAGAAACCTGTTTTGACAAACTGTAAGGATGTGAGATGACCAAAAGCTAAATTCACAACGATGATGGGCAAGTTTATAAAATCCCCACAGAGAGTAAATTAAGGATGCTCCAATCAGGATTTATACCACAGATCCCGATCACAGCCAATCAGTTTTTGATTAAGCTAAAGTAAATTCCACTAAACTAAACTGTGATCTGGCAAAACTGAATCATAAAGTCATCTAATTTAGACAAAAAACACAAAAAAAAGGCTACACACTGCATCAAGTATTCAGTCAAATGGACGTATGAAAACCCTGCTAAAAGGTTTGCTTTAAAAGAAAACATTTATACATATAGAACTGTTTTTATACACATCCCTAAACTTCTGATAACAAATAATGTCAAGAAATAAATAAACATTTAAAGCTAAATGCAGCTTGCATCTAAAATAAACAATCATAAGTTACTAAATCTAAACTGCCTGAGATTCTGGCTGATTGTTTAGTGGATGTTAAAACTGTTGTTCTGGTTCCTGCAACGTGTCAGAGAGTGAATAAGGGGTTAAAACCTTCCTCCTGGCTCTGAACGTCTTTGGGGTTTTTTTTGGACACACCACCTGAGTGTTTGTACCTGGTAAAGGAATGCCATGTCGATGAGGCCGTTGTGAAGCACCAGGGGCTTCCTGGCACGCAGCAGCTCAGTAAACAAAGTTCTGATGTGGACCCCATGGTCATCCGCATTGCCCTGACAGATAAAAAATGACACAACAGAAGCTTTACAGGAAATTGATCTACATCTGATAGGACGTGGCGATCTAGAAGCTGCTGATTAGAGCCAAACTGCAGTTCGGTGAAGGAAAGAGACAGCAGCGTGCCGGCATCGTCACCTTATTGTTGCCCTTGCAATATGGGATTCCATTGCTGTATTGCTTGTTGAAGTCAAATCCGTGCTGAACCAGGAACTGGACTGACTGGGGCTCTATTATGTACTCCTCTGAACACAGCAAGGTGAGGTTGTACACCTGGACCAGGTACGAGTCTGCAGGCTGGCAGAGAAAAACAATTAACCCCACAGCTGGAAATTTTTATCTGTAGCAGAAATCTGATGGAGTCACCGAGCATGCAAACTGGTGGCAACAGACCTACTGGGGTTCTTATGCTAATACAGCTTTATGTTTGTGAGTCTCATAAATCTCTTTGATCTTTAATTTGATCTTTTTTTTTTTGGTAACAAGCATAAAATGAGTTTAGGTGGAAGATGGGAAAAAAAAGACAAAAACCTTTATTTGTTTATTTTCTAATAAAAATCTCATTTATGAAAAAATCACCCGTTAGCTTTTTTAAACCTGTTAGACTGTATTAGTAAAAAAAATAATAATAATAATTAATTTTTCATTTTGATTTGTGGTAGTAACCTGGTAGAAATGGAACAGACTCAAGGCTTAATTCTGCTACTGTAAAGCCCAG